ACGTTGCGTTGCGTATCGCGTTGCGTAAACATAAAACCATGTCTGCAATTATGATCGGAGAAACGACAAACAACAAGCTCTAACAGTTACTCTACACTGCTCAAAACTCGCGTTTGAATCATCAGTGGCAAATCCTTTACATATGAAAGCGTACTTACAGTCTGTGTGTCAGAAGTGCCAGACTGTCCTTGCAAAGTTGGAATTGCCCCACTTTATAGAAACCGACACCGGCATTGTAGGCTACTCTCTCAGAAAACAGTCCTTGTCCTCTGCAAAATGCGTTGCACACATCTGAATATTTGGGTTGAACTGTTCTGGAACAGTGTTGTAAATACAACTTAACCACTGATTTCTAGGTGTGTCCTCTTTTGGAAGGGCAAACAAAGTAGTTTCTCTTTCATAACGAAACACACAGCATCTCCACAACATGGCGGTGGCGACAACAGCAATACTACAGCGAGAATCAAAGTTACACCTTCTTTCTTTGAGTGAGAAAGGAAAAATTTAAATCGCATCATATGACCCCTTTAAACTTTGTAGACCGCCATCATGAATTACAAAAATGTTTCCCAGTGTTGATTATCATGGTAAACATATTGTTTGCCCTTAGACCCATTTCTTGCTAATAAGCATCTTTGTAATGAATTTACTCAATTTACATTTTAATGTAGGTTAAGTGCTGCAGGCTTTGACTGAAGGTGCATGTGAGTTGGAAAAGTAGAGTGATTTACAGGTGCGGCATTCACTCACAGTAACTGAAGCGGTAAGGGGATGAGGTCATCACTACAGCATAATGACAAGCATTATGTAGCTGTTAATGAGAAAGTTTGTGTGTTAATGGTGATAACTGGATAAACCTGCTCTAGTGTAATCAGATGCGGTTCACACATTTTGCTGAAATACACAATGTTTAGTTTTATATTTATACTTAATGCTGAACCTGAATTAAATTGTGATGCAACATAATTTTATTATCAAATGATTATATATTACACATGTTTGTACCAAAACACAAAGGCTGTAACAGATGTGCTTTTGAACAATTGTGAGGTTTTTTGTTTCCATATGAAGTCTGTCTCATAGTTTTGATTACAGGGGAATACTCCGCCCAGCTGAAACTGGGAAGAGACTTGTTTGACCCGATAATGTCTTGTTCTTCTTCCATTTTAAGTGCTTTAGGCTGTTGCAAACACCCTTTTTTGGTTCTCATAATGGCCACACTTTTTTTCTTTCTTTAAAATCTCTGGCTGTTTTGATTTTTTCTCAGACATTTCTATTAAATCTCTTTCTGTTGGTCTGTAGAGATATGGTGACATATTTTCATAACTTGTCTCTAGACGTGTGAAGAAATAAGATATAAGAAAGAATGTGCCTTTGGATGAACTCTGTCCTCCTCCTCCTCCTTCTCTTTAACAGGGGATAAATACCCTTTATGAGAGAGCTGTGCCTATATCTTAAACTTTTTCTCATTTTTCTTGTGTGTCCCAAGCTGCTTTCTAAGGAAATGCTGGTGGTTTAGTAGCTGTCTGCAGAATCCTGATGAATATAGCAGCCACTTGTTTTGATGGTTGAGAATAATTGCCTGCAGCTGGGCAGTTAAAAAGCCAGTTCTTCAACAGTATTGTTGTTGTTGTTGTTTTGAATGTTTTGTTTTCCATTAATAGCATGTGAACTTAATTGGAAGGCAAATTTGATCAGTTTTTAGGTGTTAATTTATGGTGATGTGCCAGTCACCAGAAGGTCTGTGTATGATTTGGGGATCCCTCCTTTTGGGCCTCGAACCAACAGCATTTGGTTTATGAGTCCAAAAACCCCAGAAGTGAACAAACTTATATATATTTAAAAAAATTAAAAAGGTCAACTATTCAGCACTCATTAGTCATTAGCTAGGTTTCCATCCAAATATTGTTATGCAATTGTTGCGATAATTGGGGTATCCTTTATTGGTGATGAACATTGTACATTTGTACTTCTGATCCTCCTTCTGATCCTTTTTTTCTCTGCATAGTCAAGTATTAAGAAGATATATGTTTATTTTGAAATTCTGGAAAGCTTTACATGTAGTATAACTTAAAGGGGTCATATGACGTTGCTAAAAATAACATTATTTTGTGTATTTGGTGTAATGAAATGTGTTTATGCAGTTTAAGGTTCAAAAAACACATTATTTTCCACATACTGTACATTATTGTTCCTCCTCTCTGCCACGCCTTTCTGAAATGCGACGATTTTTACAAATCTCTTCATTCTGAAAAGCAAGGTGTGCTCTGATTGGCCAGCTATCCAGTGCGTTGTAATTGGCCGAATACCTCAAGCGTGTGACGGAAATGTTTTTTTTTTTTTTAAACATGGGATGCAAGCCCTTTATTCGCAAATAAAAAAGTTTTTTTTTTTTTTGATAAATTAAATTCAGAATTTGAATGAAAGCAAGGCTAATGTCTCTTTGCTTTTCTAGGAGGACTGTATAGGCAGAATCTGCTTCTGGTCCCAAACAGGCCATTTGTGGATGTTCCATATTCTCTCAAGAGGTCTGTGGGATTCCTTACATTTTTGTAAGGTTAAGATGTGCTTTTCCACTCCTCGCTCATCATATATTTGATGAGCCCTGAGGGTTTCAGACATTGATTTAAGAAGGCCAAATAAGACACAGAAGCACGCACATTTGTGTTTCTAGCCCAAGAAATAGGGAAGTACTGGAAAAGAAGAGCAGTTGCCAGAAGAAAAGTATTCAGACTCTGGGAGGAAGTGGTGTGACTTCCCCTTTAGCTCGGTGGAAGAATCTCTGATTTTTGCCACTATAGTCTTAGCCTCCCTACAACCCTGCTCACTGAGCATCCGTTTCCTGAGAGAGCGCGAAAGGGAGAGCGAGGGAACCTGCTCGATTCCTGTGGGACTATTAAGTGGTGTTCTGTGCTCCTCCTCGTTTGCAGCTTTCAAACTTTTCAAAGTTTGCTTTTAGTACATTTCCTTCAGGAAGCAGAAGAACAGGGAGGGAGAAATAAACAGTCTGACCCTACAGAGGGTGTGTTTTAAGGGCGTGCTTCTTAATTCAGCCGTCGACAAATAACATTTAACACAAGCCAGGGGCAAGAAGGTCATACATTTAATTAGACTCTATATTTATTTTTAAACCAAATGCATTTTACATTTTAAACAAGTGCTTGTAATAACATCATTGTTTATATTTCTGATCCATTTAGGTGCATGTCATGTCTTTATTGCATCAGAAGAAAGGGCTTTCATGGATCCAAAAAGTCAAATCATCAGCACATCTGGAATTTTTATCAGTTCCTATCATGTCACACTAACAAACTCTTACTCTGGTTTGATTATCTAAACATATGCTGCAGTATAATCCAGTGAGCATGCTGCAGCTCTCGGGGGTCTATTGTAAGAGAAGAAAAAGAGTTTTGATGGTCTTCTATACAAAAGCCAGGCCTCTAAAAGATTCCCAGGGTTTTTTTCCCCTCGTGCCCTAATGACATTTGCATCTGTTTCTGTGAGGCCCTGTTGAGGTGTTTGCAGTGATAGATAGATAGATAGATACTTATTTTTTTACATTTATAATGCTTTTGGTACAATGTGATCCAGTCTGTTGGCAAACTCAGATAGTTGTGTTTGCTGTATAATTACTTTTAATGAACAGTTTGGAATTCCAATACATTTAATTCCCAGGCCTGCTCTAGTAGAAGTGTTCTTGGATCTGTTGTCACGCACGCTGACTCATATTTAGCACCTGTTCTTATGTCATGCATATCTGGCCCAGAGTTCATATATAACTATTAGGTCTTGTATACACTCAACCCACACCAAATCAAGGCTGTACACTCAGAAATGAGACCACAGACGTGATGTTTTCATTCATGCCACATAAGCAATGGAAAGGGTATGTTTCCCGATCACAGCAGGGTAGAAGTGACATTCAGAGATGAGTTTAAATAGCCCAAAGGTGTGCTGGAGGTGGTTGTGGTCTGTGTGTATAGAGCTGGAACTGAAGTGATGGCCTTATGTAATGACTGAGTCAGTGCTGGTCAGACTGAAGCTGTATGTGTGTCTGTGTGATTTGCTGACTCGCTAAGCTATGCTATGCTGACATCTTGTGTTAACTTCATTGTATTGCGGTGGTGCAATTTTCATTTGTCTTTAGGAAATGGAACCTGGGTTCAAATCCCAACTGTTTTGTTTTGTTTTTTGCTTCGTTTTGTTTTGCTATGTTTAATACTGTAAATAATATGAGTAAGGTACTTATATGAACTGACCAAATTTTCACATTTGATTGGTGATTTTTGCCACAGGCTTTTATACAGTAATTGTTCGACTTAATTATTAAAGTCCATGTAAAGGCAATTCAGAAAATTTGTTTCTAAACATATTATAGATGTTAGAAATGTATTGGTGAAAACGCATTACAAAGACAGTGAGTGTGAACTATGTAGTACTGTATTGTGTAGTTAAACCGTTGTTCGGGATTTTTTTGGGCGAGCCTGAAATGATGTCTCGCTGATATCAGCACTGGAGCCACTGAGCATGGGCCTTCCCCTAACACTATAATAACTAGAGAGTGCATTAGCATCGGTGGTTCACCCGCTCAAACGCGAGTTACTGTCAGCCTTCAGTTTGTTAGCTAGCTATGCCTTAATCACGTAAATGCATATTTCATGTATGGCTGTGTAAATCCAATTAAGCTGCTAGAGGGAGCATCCATTCAGGTTGTAGCGGTATTTAACAGTCAAGAGAGGTGGCAGCTTTCCCGCGAGTGGGCGTGGTTTCAGTGATTTTGATAACTTATTTTATTTACTTGCCTTTTTTTCTTTATTCAAATTTGGCTGGGTGGTTAAAAACAAATTTTTTGTGGTGTTACAAACTCAGAACACATTTAATATTGCTTTACACAGACGTTCAATGTCTGGGTAAAAGGCACACCCTTAATAATACATATCCTTATTAAACATCCTCGTACCAGTTTTTGGGCTTGATTTTTTTTTTCTTTCCTCTTCCAGATTGCACTGCTAGATGTAGACATCTGTGGGCCATCTATACCAAAAATAATGGGGTTAGAGGGGGAGCAGGTATGTCATATATCTCTGGTTTCATTGTGCTTCTTGCTTGTGTCAGAATGCTGATTGGGAATCTCATTCTTTGCTTCTTTTCTCTGTAGGTTCATCAGAGCGGCTCAGGCTGGTCCCCAGTGGTGAGATCTTTTAAATCTCTTTTCTTTTGATTTGTATTTCTCAAGCATTTGTCATACGGATATATTCTCTCTGTCTAGTATGTTGAGGACAACTTGGCCGTCATGTCCATCGGCTTCCTGCTCAGTAGTCCAGATGATGCTGTTATCTGGAGAGGCCCTAAAAAGAATGGTTGGTACTTTATTTTAGCCCTGTCTTCTGTTGTACACATCAGGAATATTAAAATTTTCATTTTATTAAATAGTTTAAATTGCCTTCCTCAAAGTCATGCAGTCTTATTTAGCTGTGAGTTGTATCGGAAGCCAAACATGGCAAAAGTGTGACAGAATGTTTTACCTGACTGCACAGCAGTCATTTTTGAATCTAGAAATCTGTTCACTTGCACCCCTGATAGTGAAGGTCAAGCGGGACAGCCTGCACAATCCCACAAAACCATATGACCTATTTGAATTCTACCCAGAATGCTCTACTTCAGAGTTCTAGGGGAATTCAGGCACCTGATGAATAGGCACTTGTTAAAGACACATTAAACAGCCCTGACGATCTAAACAGCTAAAACGTCATGAAACTTGGTTTGAATTTCTGTCCAAACCAAGAACAAAGTAGAATTTGTTAATTATTAATGAGTTAGATGAGTGAGAGATTGACAGTGTTACTGATCAGTACATTTTTAGTGGTGGGGAAAAAAATATTGTTATGCAAATATGTGACCCTGGAGCACAAAACCAGTCTTAAGTCACTGGGGGATTATTTGTAGCAATAGCCAAAAAAACATTGTATGTGTCAAAATTATCGATTTTTCTTTTATGCCAAAAATCATTAGGATATTAAAGGGGGCATAACACACACAGTTTCACCCAATCTCATGTTAATCTTGAGTACCTATAGAGTAGTACAGAATCCTTCATATCTCCAAAAAGTCTTTAGTTTTATCATATTTATAAAAGAAAGATACAGCTTTACGATTCTCTCCGGAAAAAGCCGAGCTCCTGGAGGCGCGCCGTGGGCGGAGCTAAAGAGTGACGAGCACTTGAGCGCCGAATGCCAACAAAACAGACATTTGATGCTGTTTCACTTACCGTCTGCAGTTCTGAATCATGACCGGGATCTTTTATAGCTGGGACCGCTCCATCTTTCAGTATCAATCGATGTGCAAATCCAGCGTCGAACTGGGCCTTGATTATAAAACGTTCGTCAACAAACACACTTGTGAAACTCCGTTGCTGCCCCAGAAAAAACAAACTGTATCCACTGTTTACATAACGCTGGGTTTTTTAGGAAGCTGAACAAAGTTATCTTTCCCTTACAACCAAAAACACACTTCTTTGGATTGGAGACATTCTTCCCGAGCAAGTCCCGTGCAGCGCTGCCGCTGGATGAAGCACGTTGATGGGCGCGATCTCGCTCTCACTCTGGTCGATGCGTGCGCGGGTGCGTTCTTCCGGGAGAAATGCCCATATAAGGAATTCCACCCTCGTCTATGTCATGAAGAGCCACGATCGAAAAAAACTCTCAGAAACTTGTACGAACCCGGAAGTAAGATTTTTGGCACAGAAATACTCCGTCATACGTCCAAATTGTTTTTTTAAACTTTGCCCATGCTTAGCATGAGAATCCAACTCTTTAACAGTGTAAACAACTCTGAATGCATGAAACAGCATTGTACCCCCCCTTTAAATAAAGATCATGTTCCATGAAGATATTTTGTAAATTTCCTACCGTAAATATATCAAAACTTCATTTTTGATTTGTAATATGCATTGCTAAGTACTTCATTTGGAAAACTTTAAAGGTGATTTTCTCAGTATTTTGATTTTTTTGCACCATCAGATTCCAGATTTTCAAATAGTTGTATCTCGGTCAAATATGGTCCTATCCTAACAAACCATACATCAATGGAAAGCTTATTTATTCAGCTTTCAGATGATATATAAATCTCAATTTCAAGAAATTGACCCTTATGACTGGTTTTATGGTCCAGTGTCACATAAATGAACATCGTTCTAATCTGTTGATTTTTATTTATTTTATTTTTTATGTAGTGTCATAATTAAACTTACTGCCCTGATATGATTATAACCATTTATAAGAATTCAAAATATCAAATGGCACTTCATATAAAAAAGACCCTACTAAATATATGCCCTCCTAAATTATAAATAAATGATTAATAATAAATAAATAATAGTCCTAAATATTGCCTACTTTCCAGATCAGGTCTAATCACATCCCCAGTGTAAAAGACAACAGCTAGTGGGTGCATGTGGTGTGGGCAGCAATCATGTGATTGTTGGTCTGATGGTTAAGTATATCGTGGTGATGCATGTTTTGTTTCATGCAGCTTTTTTTAAGTGACATGTTTCCACTTGGTTAGTCTGGTTAATCTTGGTTAAATGTTATTTCAGTAAGCAGGTTTGTTAATCTCTGCCAACTGGTGTACAATAACTGGTGCTTCTTAACAATCACATCATGATTAACTTTAGTGTAATTAAATGATTTGTGTTCCAGTGGTAGCTAAAAGGGCAGCATTAGCTTCCTGCCACAATAAAACTCTACGAAGCAGAAGTGCTGCTTTCAAAATTAAAAAAAGGGTTCCGTTCTGACAGGACAACACAATGCACATATGACTATGAGTGGAACTTGGATCAAATGTTGAACAACAAAAAAATGCATTGTATGACATTCATCTTTCTTTCTGCACCAGACCTGAAAGTATTACTTTTTAAATAATAATATAAATAATTTATAAAACACAAAGGAACAGAAAAACAGGTGTCATCATGTTCCACGATGAGATGCTCAGATGCAATGAGAGCACGTGGCTCTGTTTATCTCAAGTCCTAAGTTAAGTTTAGACCGGATGGGTTTCACTTCCTTGAACTCTGCATTTTAACCACTGTCTGATATCTAAGTGTCTCAACTGTGATGAGAACTGGTTTCCTTTACTGTGTGTTTCACAGGTGCCTTGAATATACAGTATTGATCAAGGTGTTGAGTAGCTTCATTGATATACATTCGGGAGCTGAATGACTTTTGCTGTTGAACTTTAGGTATACGGAAATATATATGGCAAACAATAGCAGTTTTCAAGCACATTCATTCATCTGATAAACTTAATAAATCAGGTGGGAGGAGCTATTGTTGTTGTTTTTCTTTTTTTCATTTCAGGAAGTCACATTGTGTGATTCAAGGGAAGTTGACGTGATGTCTAATGTTTTGTGAACCTCAAATCATATGCACAGCTCTCTTTTTGTTGTTTTGGGGATGCACCTGAATACAAATAGACAGAAAGTTAAAGGAAAGGTCATAAGGCTTTCAAGTTCAGGACATTTTTGTTTAAAAATAAAATACAATTTATTTTAATAAAATGTAAACAAATAAATACAAGTTGACAGTGATATTTAAATGTACCTTTTTTTCCATTTTGACCCGAGTGTTCTTTTTTTGGAAGACTTAACTATGTGTGATTATTTAGCATGGGTGGAGGGTTTGGAAGGACAATGATTGTTATACAACATGAATGCCTTTGTGTGATATGTTTGGTTTGGTGTCATACCAAATGTATAATGCAATGTTTTTCTGTTTTTATCTGTGTATTAACTCCGTGTTAGGTACTCTGTGTATACCTATTTACTTTGGAGTTGTGGGAAAGGGTTATTGTAACTTACACTGGCCTTGTCTGCCAGGAACAGGCATCAGAAAATCAGGATTATACTCTATAGCTCAAGACCATGACTAAAATGTATGACAAAAATGGCACTGTTTCGTGCATACAACAACAAACATGATGCAAGCCATGATGTCTGATTCATAAACAGTTGACTCTTGTGAGCAGGTACTTTTTAATGTGTCAGCCAAAAAATTCACGCAATTCCTCACTAGTGAGTTAATGGGATTAATCTGGCTCATTCAGTCAATTATTAATTCCAATTTTAAATGGTATTAAAAAAACACTTAGATGTTTGTCACTGGACATCCGCACCTTCTATTGTAACTTTTAAAACCATGTTGAAAACATATCTTTACTCCCAGGCATTCTAATTGATTTTATCTATGTTTTATTGTTTTATGGTTTGTCTTGCTTGTCTTGTGTTTTTAACTTTGATTCTGTTCAGCACTTTGGCCAACTTTGCTGAGATAAATGTGCTATATAAATAAACTTTACTTACTTGTCAAAGTAAAATTGGTTATGATTTAACATAAGTGGTTGTATTGTTGAATTAAGGGAAAGTTAAGGGAAATTTAGTTTGAACCATACCCAACCACCAGCATTTTACTTTTTCCCCCCCCCCAAACAGGCAGTGACATTTATATGGCACAAGCAAAACTATCAGATTGGAACAAATTTAAACTAAACATCAGTAAAAAACAAAACAACAACTATATTATAGCCTACTGTATATATTAAACTGTCCATGTATTACAGCACATAGCAGATAGTGGTGTTAAAAACTAAATTAACATGCTGTGTACTTTTGAATGACGGTCTTTGTCAAACACTTGAGAAATGTGTCAACAAAAAGCCATTTGGCTCCAGATGTTTCATTAAGAGCCAGTGGAAGTAAATCCCTGTGGGAGATCGGGAGTACTGAATATCTGCATGATTACAGCCTAGACAGTTTTGGCATACAAACATATTCGGTCATGTTTCATTGTGGTGCACATCAAGCATCAAAACACTAGTGCACAAAAAGAAGGATTTTAAGTTCAGAGTCATCTTGAGTGGCAAAGCTGTTTGCTTTTCTGATTTTCACGGAGATTGCATCTCACATAAGAAAAGACTGGAGTGCTAGACGGTGCAGTTTTTTGCAACATGATATTTTCATTTCCTACGAAGCTGCTTTGAAACAATATGTGTTGTGAAAAGGCCTATACAAGCAAATGGGAGCTAAATTGAATTCAGTGACATGTTTGTTATGGTGCATTGTTACATTTTCAGTCTTTTGTTAATGTTTAGGCATGATAAAACAGTTTCTGAGGGATGTGGACTGGGGAGAAGTGGATTATCTGATCGTAGACACGCCTCCAGGAACATCTGATGAGCATTTGTCCATCGTGCAGTATCTCAGCGGCGCTGGCATCGACGGAGCCGTCATCATCACCACCCCGCAGGTGAACGGCAACACTCAGACATGTGAAATGCTGTGCATGTTCCAGGAAGTTGCTTTTACATCTTGTGATCTGCTTTGCATTATAAAAATAAAATATTGAAAAAAGATTCAAATGAAAAGATTTGCATAAAAAAAAAATAGTTTGATTTTAATCATGAGTTCAGATGTATTGGCGTGTGAGGAACAAGAGGCTGAAACTAAAAGTTAAAAAAAAATAGTTGATTTCCTGCACACTAACAGTGAAGTGGAATTCAGTGGTGTGAACAATTTTTTAAAAAGAAAAAAGTTATTTATGTCTTCACACGAGTTGCACTTCTTAATTGTGCACATGCTAAAAGAAGCCATCAACACATTCTCAGAACTAAGCATTTGAGCTTTGCAGTTCATTTTTAATCGAAGATGGTTAATGTTTAGAGGCTTTCACTGAAACTCTGTGATAGGACACATAAATGCATTAACACTTCCTTAAATAGCCAAAGGTTTTTTTGTTCGGTTTTTTTTTTTTTTTGGCAGAATGTTGTATTTTGCAATACCAGACTGTGTTGCAGCAATACACTTTAAGATCAATGTTTGTAGGTGTTAGGGTCACCCTTGTTGTGGCACTATGCTGCCACCACTGCACATGAGAAGAAAAGTATCAGCCAACATAAACAATTTTACTGTATTTGTAATGTGCTTATAGGAATACCATGTAATAATCCTTTCATTTTATTTTATTGCTCCCTTCTCAAATAGGAAGTATCTTTGCAGGATGTGAGAAAAGAGATCCGATTCTGTAAAAAGGTCAAAATACCTGTCATAGGTGTGATTGAAAACATGAGTGGCTTTGTTTGTCCTAAATGCAAGGTACAGTATACATGTTTAAACGCAGTATCTCGCAGCAAAACACAGCATACATCGCTCTTAACGTTTTCTGTATGTTAACGGTGTTGCGTGTGACTTTTGTGTAATGAAGTTGAGATTGTCATCTTTTTGTTTTATTGACATTGACATTATTTTCTCACAAATGGAGAAATTTTAAAGATTGTCCTATTTTTTTTGTACCAGTCAGATACAATTAATGGGGACTAGAGCTTTTAAGCTTCAAAGAGGATGCGAAAGCACCATTAAGTATCAGGAGAGAAGTCCGTTGGAGTCAATTGATCGTATGATGAGTTTTGACTAAATTTTAGACTAAGTTTGCAGTCAGTAAGGTATTTTATTGAAACAATGCTTTCATTCATCAAGGATGCATTAAATTGGTTGAAAGACATGTAAAATGTTACAAACGATTACTATTTCAAATAAATGCTGTTCTTTTGAGCTTTCAATTCTTTAAAGAATACTACAAAAATAAATACAGGTTCTACAGAAATATTAAGCGGCACAACTGTTTTCAACATTGCTAATGATAAGAAATGTTTCTTAAGCAGCAAATCAGCATATTAGAATAATTTCTGGAGGATCATGTGACACTGTGAAGACTGAAGTAATGATGCTGAAACTTCAGCTTTGCCATCACAGGAATAATTGACATTTTTTAAATAAATAAAAATAGAAAAGTTATATTAATTTGTCATATTTCAAAAATTTTTTTTTATTTTATTTAACTGAGTTTTTGATCAAACAAATGCATAAGAGACTATTTTCAAGAACATTCAGGAAAATCTTACAGACCCCAGGCCTTTATATGTGATTATAAGTTGTTATTCACAGATATTATAGTAACTATTCTTTTTGTAGCATCCTTAAAATTAATCTGTTTATCCAGTTCATAAAAACACTAAGAATAATTAATTCATAAGTCTGACTAATCCGGTTATTGAGTTCTGACAGCCAATGGAAAGGAAGATTTTCACGGAATAACATCTTAAATTCTGTTATCTTTGCCACATGAAGCTGTTGTACAACATAAGTAGACTTGGGTTGTGTGGGCTGCTTCACAGGAATAATTGACATTTTTTTAATAAATAAAAATAGAAAAGTTATATTAATTTGTCATATTTCAAAATTTTTTTTTAATTTTATTTAACTGAGTTTTTGATCAAACAAATGCATAAGAGACTATTTTCAAGAACATTCAGGAAAATCTTACAGACCCCAGGCCTTTATATGTGATTATAAGTTGTTATTCACAGATATTATAGTAACTATTCTTTTTGTAGCATCCTTAAAATTAATCTGTTTATCCAGTTCATAAAAACACTAAGAATAATTAATTCATAAGTCTGACTAATCCGGTTATTGAGTTCTGACAGCCAATGGAAAGGAAGATTTTCACGGAATAACATCTTAAATTCTGTTATCTTTGCCACATGAAGCTGTTGTACAACATAAGTAGACTTGGGTTGTGTGGGCTGCTTTGATGATCCCTTTGCATTATTTTTTAAGTTTTTTTAAACTTGCATGGAAAAGAGCGATTAAATAATGTTCTGTAGAAAACAAAAGTCATTAGGGTGCTTGGAACAACACAAGGATGACTAAATAAAATATTGCATTGTGAAATGACCTGCAGCATCATATACTGTTTTTTGATACCCCTTGTCTTTCTGTTGATAGAATACATCACAGATATTTCCTCCAACCACAGGAGGAGCACAGAGAATGTGTGAAGAACTAAATCTCCCTCTTTTGGGCAGAGTCCCCCTGGATCCACGGATAGGTACAAAGAGCTTTAATCTTTTACCATTCACAAGGAAGTGAATGTTTTACACCAGATTAAATACAACAGCAAAATATCATTCTACATTTGTTCCGCATTAAGTGGTCAGGACATGAGGAAGTTTACCAATTCACATCATAGCAATCCATTTCTTTATTTTGTGAGAGTGTTTCCTTGTTTTTATATTTACAGCGTGTAGTCAGTGAATCAAGTATCAAAAACCCCCTATGGTGGTTCTTATAAAGCATCTGAAGGAAAGTCAGCAGCCAGCAGTTTCTAGTTCTCTAAATGCACTTCTGTATTTTGCTTTTCAAGGGAGAAGCTGTGACGAGGGAAGGTCTTTCCTGACTGAAGTTCCAGACTCTCCTGCTGCAGTGGCCTATCAGAATATTGTCCAGAGTAAGTCATCCAAACCCCAGCAAGCATCTCTAAAACAGACCTGCCTCACACTTAAGCTGATAAACTGCCATTACTAACCATTCTGGTAATGCTGCTTTAGTGTGTTACCTAACAGTCTCAAGTACTGGTATTGACAAACCAAGAATGGCGAGTTTGCCACAGGCGAAAAGTCAGTGTGCACTAAATAAAGGTGAGGATACACCTGTCACTGAAGGAAAACAACTGCAAAGACAGCAAATGTAAAGACATTAAATATATTTACACTTTGATTGAGCTCATTGATTTCCCCATTCCTTTTATGAAGAACCAGTTTTTTATGGTTTTCAGTGAATCAAGAAACTCTTTGGGCATATTTAATCTTGATTTGAGTGCCAAGAATACCCAAAATAGCTTTCTGAGAACTTCTGTATACAGATCTTCCCCTTTTTTTGTTCCTTAAAGACGTTGCACTTGGTATATTTCTCTTTATTCATATACACTGATGTGATCTCCCACTAGGTGTACTTGCTTGTTTAATGACATCTTCAGATCATGTGTTATAAACTCAATTCATACATATAGCTGCTTCAAGGGGTCAGGAACTGAGAAATCAAAATTTCCTATATATAAATAAACATCCTGCAAGTTTCCGAACTCAAAGCTTTCTCATTACTCTAAAAACAGCTTATGTTGAAGGCAGTCTGCCAAATGACAGCTTGTGGAATGTACCACTTTATGACGTAATAGTGTGTTAAACACCGCCTCCACAGAAAAAGATCAACGCCTGCTTCTACATCACTACCTTGTTTAGCCCCGCCCACCGATTTGCGCATGTAGTAGGTAAATGATGAGAGAGAGAAACGCAGGTCTACACAGAAACCTAACGATAAACTTCATTTGATGAACTTTATTTTTAATGAAGTTCCAGACCGCATCAGTAAGAACTTGGTCTTTTGTTCACTTCATTTTAACAAACAAAGCACAATTTGACGCAGGATTTTCCAAAAGATTGAAACTAAAAGACGATGCTGTGCCGACTATATTGGGTCCAACAGTGTTGCAACACACAAGTGTAACTGTTTTAATTACGTGATCACTATTGCTTTGTCTCTTCTTACAGATCGTTTGATATGTATTGAGTTATTTATGCGTTTTTAACCTAAAACACAGCAGCGTCCATCTGTGAAGGACGTAGGCTGTCAAACATGCACATCTGTGTATCATAGCAGTGGGCGTTTACTTCCAAGTCTACAATCCATCACACCTATTCAAACAGAGCGTTCTGATGAGGGGGTCAAAACAGGACAGAAAATAACCTATTGCTTCTAAATTATGTTTTTTGATGTAAAAAAAAAACAAAAAAACTTGATAACATTGTTAGTGGACCTCAGAGAACTGTACAAAATAAAAACAAAGGCAGTTCATGACCCCTTTAAATCAAAAATGAGAATGGGGAAAAATGTGATCTGAGTGATTGTGGCTATGATTGGAGTGTGGAGATTTTTTTATGCACAACTGTAAGAAGTGTAGTTCAGAACTTAAAGAGAATGCATATATATATATATATATATATATATATATATAAATAAATAAAAAGGAACTAAAAATGTAGTATGATGTAGCTTTTTAAATTTTAAAAAACAACAATTTATGTATTTGTGCTTTTCAGAAAATTGATTGTCAAAATGTTGACTGTCAACCTTGGAATTTCATAATATTTCATAACAGTTTTAGAACCCTTATCTGACGTGTTTTTTCTATAAGAATATTTGTTGAATATTTGTTCAATGTTAAACTTAAATGCAGCAACATAAAATTTGTGGAAAAAAAGGAGCAGTTTATTTTTGTAATGATGTAAAAGTATATCACTTTTTTATGCTAGGTTAATTGTTAGTAATAGTCAGTGTAGCCAGGTTTTGTAAATTTTGCTCTTTTGCTGGGTGACCAGGTACTATTAGTAACTGGTGATATGAGGAAAATCCTGCTAGATGTGTGCTGAAGTACTTGCCGGTTTCTTCACAGACATATTTAACACATCCTTCAACCAAGCCACTAAGTGTATATCTCATAAGAGAACAATTGTTGAAATATAGACAAAATACTACACTACCGGTCAAAAGTTTGGGATCAGAACGATTTTTAATGTTTTTTTTAACAGGAGTTTCTTATGCTCATCAAGGCTGCATTTATTTGATCAAAAATACAGGAAAAATTTAATATTGTGAAATATTATTATGATGTAAAATAAAGTTTTTCTATTTGAATATACATTAAAATCTAATTTATTCCTGTGATCAAAGCTGAATTTCCAGCATCATTACTGCAGTCTTCAGTGTCACATGATCCTTCAGAAATCATTCTAATATGCTGATTTATTATCAGTGCTGGAAACTGTTGTGCTGATTAATATTTTTTTGGAACCTGCAATACTTTTTTTCAGGATTCTTTGATGAATAAAAAGTTAAAAAGAAGAGCATTTAAAAAAAAAAAAGAAATATTTTCTAACAATATACTCTACAGTTCAAAAGTTTGGGGTCAGCAAATTTTTATTCTTTCTTTTTTTGAAAGAAATTAAAATTTTTATTCAGCAAGGATGTGTTAAATTGTTAAGAAGTGATAGCAAAGATTTATATTGTTAGAAAATATTTATATTTTGAATCAGTGCTGTTCTTTTTAACTTTTTATTCAAGAAAGAATCGTGAAAAAAGTATCACAGTTTCCAAAAAAATATTTGGCAGCACAACTGTTGCCAACATTGATAATTCTAATAATAAATCATCATATTAGAATGATTTCTTAAGGATCATGTGACACTTTAGACTGGAGTAATGGCTGATGGAAATTCAGCTTTGCATCACAGAATGATGAGCAGAAGAGACTTCTTTAAAAAACATTAAAAGTCTTACTGATCCCAAACTTTTGAACGGCAGTGTATGTTCACAAAAATCTAATCTCAAGGAAATAATGTGTAGCTTGTGAGAATCCCCCCCCCACCCCACCCCCCCCC